CAAAATCCGATCTCAACACGCATCAAATGCGTGTCTAAATACGGACTTATCAATGCTTACTAGATCATTGCCTCAGCACATTGCAGAATCGGTTCTATATTTTGACAGAGTTGCAACAATATGGAATGATTTATCTGATATGTTTTCTCATCGTGACATGTTCCGTATGGATGATCTTCGTGAAGAAGCGCAACAAGTCCATTAGGTTCTTTGTCTGCAACTTAATACTTCACGTAATTACAAATTCTATGAAAGGAGTATACTTTATTATCAAACAAACATTTTAAACTAAAATGGAAAAATTATTTTTTAATCGATGATGGAGCATTATTGGAAAGTAAATAACAATGATGTACACAGATATATGGAAATGATTTTTTCTTTAGGAAAGGAAACATTTTATTAAAGAAAAGAGAACGCTAAAAGTACAAGACGGAAGAAGGAAATTAAAAAGAGAAAGAAAGAAGAAAGAAATAAAAGGAGAGCAACGAGCATATAAAAGCACAACCCGCAGTATATAGAAGCCCCATGAAAAGAACCCCCTGATCCCTAAGCCAGCCCCATCAAAGGAACCTCTTTCTCCCTAAGCCCTTATTGAAAAGCATCAGCGCTCTGTGCGAGTTTGAGATCGTGTTCTCATACGATGTGAATGTTGATTCATCTTTCTTTAGGTATTCATCAGCATATTCAAATTGCTCGTAGGCAAGTAGTTCTCCCTCGTCACCTGCAACGCCTTATTGCAAATATCCAAATTGGTGTTGAAATCTCATAAATCCCATAAATCTTCCACCGTAAATTATTGGAAATAGTTTTTAATGGAAAAACTTATATTATTGATGTATAAAAAACTCACAGACCATCAATCAAACAAGCACTCTCAATTCGGTCACAAACGCTATGATTGAATATAGAGTTATTTGCGCTTGAAATAACACAAAAACTCGCTAACCACTAAATGGGTAACTTTCCTATTATGACCAAGTGGAGGAACCTACTCCTCAAAACATCCACCTCTAATCTCCAGAAAATAACTAGAACAAAGCACGCCCTAATGTCAGGGAAAACAAAAACAAAACCTAGCAAATGTAAAAATAGTTAAAACACTACATTGTTCAAAATCAAACGCTAAGTGAGAAAAATTAATGTGCCAAACCCGCACATCGAGTCTTTAGTTTTTTTGGCGAGCCTGTTATTCAGAGCTCGCTTCAACTCTGTTTTATTTTTGCCATCAATCTTGGGCTTCAACATTGTAAGGTTATGGTTCATCTTCACTTCCTTCAAATGGCTATGATTTTGATCCGCCTGAGCCATCTCATTATGCTTTCCAGCCTCTACGTACCCACCCAGGTTTTTGAATTGCCTTTATACTCCCTTATCCTCATTCAGGTTGTCATATGCTCTGCCGCAATGCCTTAACTGCCACAACCATTTGCTCTACCGACCAACTTTTATCTCAAGACTTCTATCGCCACACAGTGCCGCCAAACCATGACTACCTTGTCTCTCAATCGATCCCAATCCACTTTGAATTTGGGCGATAGCGCCTCGCTGGGAACCTCTGTCTTCATCGAGCAATTGTGGCTATGGAACCTTTGGAACAAGACCCGAACCCCATCGCCGACCACCCAACATCCAAAATAAAAGAAACTGAACTACTCAAATGTGATGACATCGAAACAGACGAGCAAATCAAACTACGTCGGAAAAAAGTAGTATAGTTCAACACAATAGTTCTTATTGCTACTCCAAATAACGGAAATATCCCACAAATCCTTCCAGATCGCTAACTCCTGCAATAATGTAGTATATAGTCTAACAATCTTGATGTTCTTATTGCTACTCCAAATTAAAGGAAATGAAAAAATATAAATAAAAGATCCGGTTTCACTAAGTGTCAGAAATGAAGATTTGGTTTGACCAGCAAATGACAAAGGAAACTCAACTGAGTTGAAATTGGCTGAACCTTCGATTTGATCATCCACCGGAAATGAGATCCAGTTGAGCACTAACTATCTCTCAGTTCAAAGTGAGGTGGAGGTTCAAGAGGAGGATAAGTAGTTGAAACTTCAGAAGAAATAGGCTAACGAACAATGAAATTTCACCACCCGATCAGTTACACTAACGATGAACACACTACCTCTAAACATTGCTAGGAGAAGAACAAATCTCACGCTCACTTGAAACAGACATAACTCTTGACCAAAGAAGATATCAGACTAAAACCAGAACCCTACAAGGTAAAAATAAAAAAAGGGACAACATAGCAAAACCTTTGATTCATTACTGTCTAAAGAACATCACAATCATCAAAACTCTTGCCAATCGAAGAGGGGAAACAAGTAGATTAGATCGTCCAGGAGCTCGCCGCCTAGGGTTTCCTTAAAACCGGATCATTTATTAGACTTACCTTTCTTAGTCCTACAATTCCTAAAAAAGATTTATTATTTTGCAAGTTATATATATCCAATTGATTAATAGTATTCCTCTTAGTTCTTCATTTTCACACATAAATGGAAAGAAATTGAAGAAGAGTTATTCTAATGTCCTAACTCTAGCTACATAGCCACTTTTATCAATGAGTCCATGTTTGTTGTATATACATATTTAATGCAAAGTTGTCTGCTCCAACATTGGGTAGGAATAACAAGGTCTAAGAGATAGACATTTTATATTTAGGTTTATATTTATCTTTATATTTATATTTGTATTTATGTTTATGTTAGCATTTACATTTAGATATGGCCATGCCCATGCCGATGCCTTTGTCTATGTTTATGTAACACCCCGCCCCGTAGGGCCCGAGGTAGTTACTTCATACCTTTAGTACTGTCCTCACAACCCACCACGAGCCTTTACCACACATTTTGTCCTTACTCATGCGCGCCCTGAGAAACTTCTCAAGGGGTCACCCATCCCAAGACTTCTCCCCATCTTGGGTGATGAGCTCCCTTAAAAGAAGATGAACCTCTATTGATATGAGTAGTACTATTAATCCTCTTAAATTAATCCCGGGTATTACAATCACCCCCATTTAGGAATGCAACGTCCTCGTTGCGCCCATTAACGAATCTCAATTAAATCCTGGAATCTTTCCCCTGCTAAGTGTCGGCCTGATATCCAACGGATCCGCACACTGTCGCAGGGTTGCTCTGATACCACCTGTAACACCTCTGGCCCTACGGGGCGCGGTGTTACAGTCTATGTCTATGTCTGTGTCTGTGTCTGTGTCTATGTCTTAGATAGGATGCTAGAGCTCCAACTCAAATCCGTTCTAAGAATAAACTATATATTGTTGATATCATTAATAATATATTTATACACACTAATAAATAATTAAATAAAAAATAGTATGTGTGTGTCTACATGTGTGTGTATCCCACCTTGGCCACATAAGGTGTTTCAAGGAGCTCAATTATGGTATCGATATGAAAAGTAGGAGGTAAGAGCAAGAAGACTATGCACACAAAGTCAAAATCCAATTATGTTTACCTGAAGCTTCTTATGAAGCTCTATCGATTTTCTGGTAAGAAGATCCGGAAGCAAATTCGATGTTGTGATTAGAAGCGCATGTTCATGAGCAAGACAAACATGCCCCCACTTTCTCTCCTTAGACTAATGCCTTTCGTTTCGGGAAAGGAATGCAAGATTGTTGTGTTGGTGGACACTATTAAAGATGATGTCATGGCCTACGAAGTCCTACCAATTAAAGTTCGTGCATGGAGGTTCATCAAAACTGCAAGGGTAAGGATCGAGAAAGTTATGGAGACATTTGATCAGCAAGCTCTTAGGGTTTTATAATTAGGGTAGAACACGCTCCTATTCAGAGGTCCATTGAACTCATATAAAGCTGTAAAACACTTTAGTCTGGCTTCGGTTGTGCCTCACAATCACACCAAGCCATATGTGCGCTCTAAGTGAAGAAAGATTGAGCGGGCTAGGGGTAAATGAAACAACAGGGGATACAAAACTTACTTTCATTGTATTGATATAATATTATGATCAATATTATCAATGATTTTTTTTTTTTTGTATATTTAAATTCAAATTTTGCAAAAGACTTCAGTTTGTTGTGACCGTAATAGTTTTCTTGTCTCTTGCTCCAATTTTCCTATGAATCTTAAGTTCTCCATTTCCATTTGATATTTTCTATAATATATATAAACACACAAAATATATATTATAGAAAATATGTTGTGGCTCACTCTGGCTTGCAATTCACAAGCTGAAAGAAATCGAGTTCAAGTTTGACTGAAGTCGAGTTGAATTTTGACCGAGCGACTTAACTCGTTTGCACGCATAGATGCTATCCGAGAAAATATTACATGTGATTTTTTGTAACTCTAATTGTTTGCATCAGTGTGACAAATAGCTTAATGTTGAGCTCTTATGACTTCCACATTTGTTTTCGAAGTTGTCTTAAGGTGTTCATCTTCAATCATAGTGAAACTAATAGTTCAATGCTCAAACGATGTCACATTCTTACGATTCTTGATCCTACATGTTTGTAGGTTAACTTAGAACAATATTGAAGAAATACATTGGACTTTGAGTGAAATAAATATCTTTAAACAACGCAAGACTACAAAACACTGCAAGAAAGTCGTTAAAAGACCATTTTCACATCCATAGAAAATATCTCTTCAATGCTTCATTTTCATAACTCAAATGAAAGCTCACCTTAAAGCTCATGAAATTTGCTACATGATGAAAAAAAGAACCACCAAAATTCATCAAATCTAGATCAAGTTATGCTCGGATTAATTGGGCAAAAAAACACAACCATATATGAACCCAAAATAAGAAATCCTAAAATGAACTCCAACCGAATCCTTCCTCTCATGGTCTTACACCGTCGATAAGATTATAATCTCACGGCTGATATTTAAACAGTTTTACAACTTCTCGATCCGCGGCATACTGTCTAAACCAATCAGAGAAGAGCTTCTGGGTAAGAGGTTATCCCTGCCAACTATTTAAGGAACCCGATAATTTCTCTGTTTCACTTACAATCACTGATCTAATCTCTTTCGCATCGTCTTAGAATCAATCTATCGTCGCTTCTAACCCCAGCCTGTGATTCTCACCATTTTTCCCGGCACGGAAATGGCCACCGAGGAACCACTCTCCGTCGACGCCACGGTTGAGGCAGTTGAGATGCAGATCGAAGCCAATGACGAGAAACCGAATGACGCCGCCAAGTCAATCAAGCCGAAGAAGGGGAAAGAGGCCAAGGAGAAGAAATCGTCCGTTTCAACGAAGAAGAAAAGCCTTCGTACGCACCCCTCTTACTTTGAGGTACGGAATTCCTGATTGAATTGATCATGATTTTACTGCATTTCAGTTCGTTAATCTGTCGAATTCGGATCTAATTTGATTTGACCTTGGAATTCCGCAGATGGTCCAGGAGGCGATTGTTGCTCTGAAGGAGAGGACTGGATCGAGTCAATACGCAATTCAGAAGTTCATCGAGGAGAAGCATAAGACTCTCCCTTCGAATTTCAGGAAGTTGTTGCTCGTTTATCTGAGGAAGCTCGAGGCTTCCAATAAGCTCGTGAAGGTGAAGAATTCGTATAAGCTTTCATCGGCTTCTAAGCTTGCCATTTCGGCAACGGTGGCTAAGAAGCCTTCGGCTGCTACCAAGTCCAAAGCAACCACAAAGGTGAAGAAGGCTCCTGCAAAACCTAAAGCCGCCGCTGCCAAGTCGAAAGTTGCTGCTGGTGCCAAGGCCAAGCCGGTCGCCAAGGCTAAGCCGGCTGCCAAGCCTAAAGCAGTTGCCAAGCCGAAGGCGGTTGCCAAGCCAAAGACGATCGCCAAGGCGAAGACAGCTTCTAAGACCGTCGCAGCCCCTGCAAAAGCCAAAGCTGTTGCCAAGGCATCAAAGGTAGCGCCTGCGAAGAGGAAGGCTGCGCCGAGCTCCAAGCCTGCGGCGAAGGTGGCCAAGACGTCTGCTAAGGCGACTCCGGGGAAGAAGGCCACCGTTCCTAAGGTGGCGCCGAAGAAGGCGGCCCAGGTGAAGAGCGCGAAGGCGAAGGCGAAGGCGAAGACGCCGGTGAAGAAAGCAACGGCCAAGAGGGTGGGAAAGAAGTAAATAGACCAGATAGCCCCTTAGGGGAATGAACTGCCTGGAGTTCATTAGTTGTGTATTAGGGGTGGTCTTGTAATTTTACCGCTGCTGTTTGTTTATTTTATTTGCCTTAGTGTGTGTCTTTGTCATCAAAATACAAATATAGAGGAGAATCTGAATATGTTCTTCATGGTTTACAGTTTTCGACCACTCTTCCGGCGTTTAGCATCATCGAAAACGAGCCAAATCTTAATTATTAGTGCTACAAATTTATGAAACTGATTGTAATTAGGTTGGATTAAGAATCTAATTTTGATGATAAAGGAAAGCAACTTTGGTGTTAAAACTAGCTCTGTTTCAAATCCCCTAAACTTTTCTGCTAGATTTCAATTAACTAAAAGGTCATTTTTAGCAATTTCGAATATGTCAATTCCTCATATAGTAAGAAATTAATGTGGCTTAGAGCCTAAACTTTGTATTCCTTAAATAGGCATTCCTAATAAATTTTGATGACATGTAAGTTTTATCATAAATTTTTCTCTCCATTCATAAAGGTACAAGTAAGGTTCCATAAAGAAAGGTATTCCCTCCGTCCCAATTTGTTTTGCAAAGTCAACATTTTTTGGTCAACCAATAATAAAAGTCAACCTTCTTTATGCATAATTAATTCAATTTTTAATAAATAAAATTTACATATTCATAAATTACATCAAAATCTCTTCAAGGTTGTAAACTCCAAATTAGAATATAATTAAAAATTGGCATCCTAATTAAGTGAACAAAACGCAACTGTTTGACCAAGAAAAGTCAAATTTGCAATTCAATTCGGGACGGAGGTAGTAGATGTTTTCTTTTGAAATGAAATTTGCTGGTCTGGTCTGTTTAAGTCTGGTTTGGTCTGATCCGGTAAACGTCTGGTTTCTGTGTATTTTATAACTATGGAAATCTGGTCTGATCTGTTTAAGTTTGGTCTGAAACTCAAAATAGTTCAAAAAGAAAATATCCCAAATCTTGTAATTTAGCATATGTACAAGCATACAAACATGAAAAGATGAAAATAGATTTAGGTTATTTTCCTTAGCTTCATATGCGATGCTTGGAGTGGTTCAGTGGTTGCTATACCATACCATGGGATGATCGGGGAGCATGGGTAGGGGCGGCCCGGTATGTTTGAAGGTCTAGTGGCGAAAATAAAAATGGGCCTAAAAATTCAAAAAATTGTAGAATCCTTTTCTATCTAAATTGACATGCATAATAATAATAATATTTCAAGACATTCATAAAAATTTGTAAAACCCTATTCTGTCTAAACCAATCATATTACGGAGTATAATATTGGTGATTCTTATTTAGGAAGAAAACAATGGTGATCCTATATGTACATTATTATACAAACGTTTAAGTCATATTTAAGAAATTAACTCTATTATTATCACCTCCTAAATTCTCCCCTCCAATGATGTAATCATTCTGAATCATTTTATTTTTAGTATCTAAATTATTGTTCTTCTATGAGTTATCATCTTGAAGCGAACATTCAGAATTTAATTTCTCTACACAACTAAACTTTTCCATTGATTTTTTTACTTGGTGCCGCTTTCTCTAATTTTCATCTCGTTTTTATTTATCCTATTCAGATTCAATCCTTTTTATTACACATTGAAATTAATTAAATTAATACGGAGTAAATTTTATCATGATTGAAAATGTTTGTCTAACAAAATCAACAAGTTATAACATCAACACTTAGTAGAAAACCATCAACAATTAAGAAATCAAACAATCAACTATGAATGAAATCAGTTACTCCGTAATAAACTAATCAAATAATCATATCAGATTAATCTACTTCCGAGTGGAATTTTTTATGAAATTTTAAGAGAATGTTTTTCATCAAGTGTAAATTATACTCATGAAATTTCAGCTTAAAATTCAATCGTGAAGTAAGTTAAATAAATTACTAAAAAACAACGCACTAAAATATGTATACGTACAAACCCAATGCTTTTGAATAATTTATTTAACTGACTTCTAAATTGAACTTTGAACTAATTCTTTTTCTACATAATATACATTTCATAGAGAATATGATCATAAGTTTTCACCCAAAAATGCATTCCGAAGAACCTCAACAAATTCCGCCCGAAAAATTGTTAGTGTGGGGCTGAAAAATCAGCCTACTCACACCTATTACAAAGAACTAAATTTAGGCCTATTTTTTACTCAAAAATTTTGGGCCTAGGGCGACCGCCCCCTTGCACCCCCCTAGGGCCGCCCCTGAGCATGGGACTCCCATTAGTCAAAAACGTCATTTAATACGGAGTATAAAGTTTTAACTTAAAAAATGCAGATGAACAATAGCCCCCCAAGGAATCAAACGGGCATATTATCTGGATCTCGTGGCCAACGGAAACGGCGGAGATGCCCACGACGATTTAGGATCCCCAACGATGATGCAGCCTCATATCTAGCAACATTGGTCCTCCTTCGAGATTTGGCTCCTTAGCAGTGACGATGGCGCTCCAATCTGCGATCAGAGGAGGTCCCTTCTCCAAACCTGTGAAACGATTGATCTTCTATGATTGTTTTAATACATTACGACACCGTTTTGGGATTGATACACCGTGCGCACGGTGTATCGATCCCACGGTATAATATTCCTGTTTGGAGTACTATTCACATACCTTATTTGTGAATCACAAACATAACTAGAACTTTTCTCAAGCGGGGGCACTACTGTATAAACGGAGACGGACCAGGTTGGGTGTGAGATTAATCTATTCAATGTGTTGACAATTTTTTTAAACAAAAACAAGTTATTCAATGTCAGTTTCAAATGATTTACATCTATGTACAACATGTCTAGTTTTCAACCCATTTACATCTATTCAGTTTCTTGAAAGAAAAACATACTACTTCATATGAATTAGATTTGAATCATCGTGACACCATTTTTTATTTTGGATTAGAATTTAAGTTGTTTTTGTATTACAAACAGTTAGTATTTTGATTTAGAACTAGGATAGTGTCCAACGCTACACGTCGTGCCACAGAAATACAGTGTCCAAAATTCCTTCATAAACTTGGGATGAAATTGTGAACCCTAACATGTAACTCCCGACCGAGCTAAACTACTTTAATTTCCTGGTTCAATCATCTCCCGTTTGTTTCTACTACACCCTTTTATAATAACTCTCTTATGGCAATATTTTGTTTTGTCGGAATACACCTTTTATTTTAGTAACATAACCATGGCCAAATATCCAAAGAAATTATCCACAATCTTCTTTTTTGTGCAATAGCCACAACAACTAATTGTAATTAGTAAGAAAACAATGAATATATCTTGTGTATGGAATTTCATTTATGATAATCTTAAATCCATTAAGCTCACCACACATATTAGAAGTCTTATCATATGACTACTTCTAATTTTAGAAAAGATAATTCATACTTCACAAAAATAATCATCAATGTCACTTTTCAAAGAATAACCGAGTCAAGAACATGTCTAACTATATGAATTGAAATCGCTTCTTCATAACTCCATAAACGTTTAAACGTCTTATACCAATTTTCATATGCTCTTTGACAAATTTATTACATAACCAATGGTCATAGTTTTATATCAAGAAGCGGGAGTGTGGATATTGAAAATTATTCAATATTTTGGACTTATTATTTATGATGGTCCTTAATATTATTGAGCTCATTTAAGTATTATCGGACTATTATACCCCTTATTGGGTCTCTTTTGGAGGCTACTGGACCAACATCGGATTCTACTGAGCTGTTTGTGATGATTATTGTGCCTGATAAAATATAATATTAATATGGGCCCATTCGGATATAATTTAGTGATTAAGTTAATTCGGATCGCTCAAATGTCCAATTAATTTAATTATAAATTAAGTCTTTAAAAGAATGGACTGGTCCTATTAATTTTGAGTCCATTATCAAATAGCGGCCCAATATATAAGAGGCATGATCCAATTGATAAAGAGGTCAACGAATCTGGCCAAGAAATCCTTCCATGTACATGGAAAATAGCTCTGAACCTTGTTAAGAAAGCTGTCCAGATACATTGTACAAGTGCTGATTTTTCTGGCTATTAAAATACAAGAAAATAGAGCCCGAAGCCCATTTCCACTTGAGCCCAAGGGATATGGACGAATTTGCTAAACCCTAAAGCCATATTTTCACCCCCTCCACACCTATAAATAGGGGTCTCAGTTGAGAGAAAGAAAAGAGAACTTCCAGACGAAAAAACGCTGCAGCAAAGCTCTGAAGAACTCCCGAAAGGCTCTGAAGGATTCCGAAGAAGAGGAAGAGATCAAGCCACGTTTTTGTCAAGAATATATGAATAATCCTTTGTGATTTCATCGATTCTTGATCAAACAAAGCCAAAAGTTGAAGAACGTTCAAAGATCTGAAGAACGAAGCTTGAAGATTCGAAGATCTGAAGAACGAAGCTTTGAAGATTCGAAGATATGAAGAACGAATCTTTGAAGATTTGAAGATATTCATATGAAGATTGAATCAATATTCAATTGAAGATCAAGCCATATATCCCGGGAAGCCCTTTAACAGAAGATCAAGCCACATAACGGCCCCTTCACTACAACAAATTTCATTTATAGAGGCAACTCGTTGGGGCAACTTACACAGCATTGCCTCTAAAAACCTACTTTTGCGTCAAATAGATTATGGTTGCCTCTAATTTAGAAGATTTGAGGCAACCTTATTCTATTTGCTTCTAAAAGGTGCTATTTAGAGGCACACTCTTTTGGTTGCCTCTGAATAGTCATATTTGGAGGCACACTTTTATGGTTGCCTCTAAAAGGAGCTATTTAGAGGCACACTTTTATGGTTGCCTCTAAAAGGAGCTATTTAGAGGCACACTTTTATGGTTGCCTCTAAAAGGAGCTATTTAGAGGCACACTTTTATGGTTGCCTCTAAAATGAGCTATTTAGAGGCACACTTTTATGGTTGCCTCGAAAAGGAGCTATTTAGAGGTACACTTTTACGACTGCCTCTAAAATGTGCTGTTTGGAGGCACACTTTTATGACTGTCTCTAAAAGTATTTATATTATTATACTACGTAACTATTTCTAATGCATATACTCAGAAATGTCAACTCGTTTATAAAGATAAAATTTATACTAAGTAATTAACATGATTGTAATTATTTTTATAAGTATAGTTACAACTGAAATTATTTTTATATTATAGTTCTAATTAAAGTTATGATTATAGTTACAATTATAATGTCAATTATAATTATAATTGTACTTAAAAACTAAGATTGCCCCATTTTTACCTTTTCGGGAAATCCTACTAAGAT